AATCAATTTGTAGATGATTTCTCGATTTTTTCCAAAGCTTCGAATAATGAACGAATTTGTGGATGATTTCCTCTTTCTCTTTCAGATTTTCCCTTGTTTTTTTTCCAGTTTGGAGGCTGGTTTCTTTCATGCCGTAATCTTCCAAGTTTGAGCGTATTTCTTACGTTAATTTTTACCTAATTACCACATAATCCAAGTTTATCTTGTTTTTTCAAAATTACCCCAAAATATAGAGTATTTGTGTAAGTACCCCATTTTTTAACTAGTGGGCATAAATTGTTTTAGCTGGTAACATTAGGCCCATTAGCCATTGCCTAAAATCCAAAACCCTGTAAATGTAATTAGATGTTGGTTCTAGATAATTGATTTCAATTTTCACCCAATTTCCTCCCTTCCTCTGATTCTCTCTGCGCGCTGTGGNNCTCTGATTCTCTCTGCGCGCTGTGGACTTGCTCAGTTGCTCGTGACCTGCCATCTGCCGTGCCACCAACTGCCATCGACTTCCTCCGTGGGTTTAAGTCTGTAAGTCTACTATTTATGTGCAAAGATTAATTTGAAACTTTGGTTCCTACTTCCAAGTTTTTTGGTTTATGTATAATCCTTTTTTCCTTTTGCTAATTTTGTGCCAGCTGTTGGTATTTTAATTGGTTGGTGTTTGATTATTATGTGACTGTGATGACTGATGATTTACTTATAAATTGGTGATTTGAAATTTGGATTCCTAATTTTGATGAATTATCATTCATTCTACTTTAAAATGAAATACTTTATTCTCGCTTATTGCAAATATAAACCAGCTACATATGAAATTTAAATAATAGGTGTCAAATATTAAGCTTTGACGAAAAGTGAACAACATAGGCCCAAATAGCCAATGCATCCTCAAGTCACCGTCATATTATGTGCATTTTGTTAAAAAAATATAAAATACTTATTTACTTTAAAGGAATATAAACATTATGCATGCACTATCTCCACCTCATAGAAATTGCCCATTTAAACGTTAAATAGTGACGCGACATTCACTTGACATGGAGCAGACAAACAATCACAATAGTCATGTTGCTTGTGACATTAACGTAGGAAATTCAACTGTTAAGAATAAGATTATGATTCAGATCTGTCGATGAGTTGGAGAGTTACAATGATCCAAACGAACAATTTAACCTCTTCAATTAGACACCAAATCCGTATCGCACGGCCATTTAACAATTATACAAGCTTCTCCTTACTTTATTTAAATTTATAGTATAAGGAACATAATTATTGCTTTACGAAAAAGGGCATAATATTACACACCACTTTCCTAGCTTAATTTATGTGGTGGTGGAGTTGTTGGAACCTTGACGTGTAAAGCGAAGCAATTATGTCTCTTGGACCCGAAAGCAAGCAAGGAATTTCTGACGTTTCCTTTTCCTATTTTCTTATCTGCTAAAGTTTAATTTACTGCTGAAGAAATCAACAAAAGAAGAAGAGACAATAGATGGTTAAACATTTAAACTACTCCAGATGATGAAACTAAAATACAAATAAAAATGCTTGCAATTATCTATTTATCTTAGTACATTATCAGTGTAGACAGAAATATTAATTTGTTCGAGGATCAGCTAATGAAAATGATGGAGGGGTCACAGCAACACTCGTCAATTAGGCAACAGCAACATAAAGCCGCGAGACTGTCATAAAATCCAAATCAAAATTAAGGTAAAATTCTTGATTAATGAAACATGAAAAGAACAATGAACAGAGAGAGAGAGAGAGGAGAGAGTACCATCCCTCAAGAAAACTAGGTTCTCTCCGGGGTGGAGGAGCAGCATAATATTGTGGAGGTGCCATTACTGGAGGTGGAGGACCTTGGTAATAACCTGCGTTAATTATAAAGTAATTAAATCATTCTAAGATAAATATTCATCAAAATGAAGTGCGTGTGGGTGTACAAGGATTACCTTGAGCGGGATAGGGATATGCGTATTTTGGTGGTTCAGTCATGCCTGCGTCTGGTGCTTCGAAAGTGCGTGAAAGGGGATGCAGTTTTTGTATGAATAGTTTGTTCTGAAAGAGGAGAGAGGAATGAATGGAATATGAATGTTTATTTATATGTAGAAAATTAGGGTTTGGAGGAGGCAATAAAGGGATACAACTACTGCATGCGTGTCACGCACAAAAGATTTTTTTTGATTTATTTTAGGAGTTTCTTTTGCTTTTTTCTATTTTTAATTCTAAGGAAAATTCTTTTCTTCAGTTATGAAAAATCACACTTCTTTTCTTCAGCATTGATAAATGGGAAACTTGGAAAGCCATCCATGAGACCATGAGTCCATGACCATCCGTTGTTATAGGAAAATTGCAATAGAGGTCCCTAATTTATTGAATTTATGTAAATGAGTCTCAATCTTTAGTTCATGACATTTAGCTACTAACATCTATGCTACCAACTTGAATGAACGTTTGTTGTGATTCATATTGTGATTTAAGTTGTATCCAATATATTAACGTATATCATCTTATCAATTTAGTTACACTGTAGATAGACTTGTAATTCGTTACATTTTATACCAATGATATTATTATTCATATATTATTTTCTCTTCGGACATATTATTTGTGCATTGAATCTTTTTGGTTTTTCGCTACATCATTAAATTGTGTGTATTAACCATATGGTTGTGACAATCACAACCGTATTGTGTCGAATCTTTTATAAGAATACTCAATTTTAATTTAGGAATTGTGTTCTAGTATTAGACATAAATTTACTTATTATTTTGATGCACTAGAAAATAACTTGATCCATTGATTGCCTAAAAAATTTACGCAAGATCTTATACTCCGGTAAAATGTTTTATTGTCAATTGTACTTTCCACAGTATTTTTCATTTATCACTATACATTTTTCAACATTTTTTACTATACATTGAACTCTAGTCAAATGAAAATTAGCATACCGCGTGTAAATAATTATTATTCACATCATCCATTGCATCTAACTATTAATGGTTGATGATAGAGGTATGGATGAAGTAACGATTTGTTAAATCAGTATCTAGTTATAAACATTTTAAAGTTCAATGGTCAATCAAAAAAGATTTAATGGTCATCGATACTGGCGATACATGTACCATATCTACTTGGTAACACTGGTCTAAACATAAATAAATAAACCGCAATATTTGAAAGTGGATACGAGTTTTTACATTCTATTCAACATGTTAAAATATGCGAAAGTCCAGAATATAAATATTTTTTTACAAAAATGAACCAAATCAAACCGAAATAAAGACGGCAATATACTTTTACTAACATATATTATATACTGCAAAAGGGAATTACCAAAATAAGAATCAAATATTGCGTTGATTAATCTTCATCCCAGGACTATTTCCCATTGACATCATCGGAACTGATACTGACGGCGTCACTGCAACAAAATTGTATTGCGGCTGCTCGCCGTTAAAATTAACGGCACCCGGCACCACTCTGTATCCATATTGTCCAGCTTGATGTACTCCTCCATCAGCCACCACCGGTATCCGGTAAACCGCCGCATTCACATTGTTAATTTCTCTCTTCGCCTGAATTCCGGCACCTGCATCCACCCCGAAATTCTCGGGCAGAACCATACCCGGAATTTGCAGAATATCTACCGGAGGTCCAATACTTGGCTGATACTCTTTATCAAATCCAAATAAATAATCCGGGTTCAGAGGGGTGCCCGGACCCGAATTTTTGTTACCCAAGTTCGTAGAAGGGATTCTAGGACTTGATATATCGAAGATGAAAAGCCTAAGTCGGACGGGTTTGGTTGAAATCGCGAGCATGCGGTCGTACTCCACCATCATGTGCTCGACATCCTCATCGTTGATTAAGGAGACCAAGGAGTCAAGATCCTCGCCGGGTAGCTGGTACTTTATGCAAACCTCGGAATTTTTATTGATGTTGCAGAGGGAATTTAGTTTGGCTGCCATTTCGGAGAAGTTAACTTTTCGATCGACGGTGAGGATTTTGATGTCGCCGCCGATGTAGGAGAGTTGGTGGTCCGTTGGCCTGGGCTGAATCTTTCCTCCATAACTGCACATCAATTTCACTTTGTTGATCTTCATGTTTGATTTCTGCTTGTCCATGCTCTCAGAAGAATGAGAAGAGCTAAAACTTGACTAGGTTTTCGTAGGTTGAATTTTTGGGGCGAAATAGACCGCTACTACTTATAAAAGCAAAATTACTGTTACGTCCCTAATTTATCAAAATTGTAGAAAGCTCTCCAATAGTCTCTCTTTTGTGCAATGGTTGGCCTAGAAAACTTCATGAGTTTGTCCCCCTCAAAGAAGACTACACCGTTTGACTCATATTATTTGATATTATAATTTTTGAAATAATATATTTTTTTTAAAAATGAGTGGTTGAAAAAAAAAAAAAAAATTTCTGTAATATCATTTTATAGAAAAATGTGTGCTTAAAAAGAAGACAGAGAAAAACGTATTATAATTTTAATGGGACCAAAATGGGGCTAAAAGTTGGAAGAAATTAAAATTTATTAATTTATTAAATGAATGGTTGCGTCATCATCTGTTACACTTTTATGTCCATGCTTGCCAAAGTTTTTTTTTTTTTAAAGTTAATTAAACTTTATTTTTTAATTATACACTTTAATGAATTCATAATTTTATTTACTATTAATTATATGTTTCATGAATTACCATACTTGTAATTTCAAAAGGCTTTACCAGACAGGGACTATATTATATTATACAATTTTTGCCCCCAGGGCATATCTCCCAGTGGTAAAGGGGAGGGCGGTTAGGACTCAGCGCGGTAGTGTGAAAAGTTCGATTCCCCACAAGGTAGAATTGGCTTTGTTGCAAGCGGGAANAATAGACCGCTACTACTTATAAAAGAAAAAATTACTGTTACGTCCCTAATTTATCAAAATTGTAGAAAGCTCTCCAATAGTCTCTCTTTTGTGCAATGGTTGGCCTAGAAAACTTCATGAGTTTGTCCCCCTCAAAGCAGACTACACCTTTTGACTCCTATTATTTGATATTATAATTTTTGAAATAATATTTTTTTGAAAAAATGAGTGGTTGAAAAAAAAAAGGAAAAAGTTTCTGTAATATTATTTTATAGAAAAATGTGTGGTTAAAAAGAAGACAGAGAAAAACGTATTATAATTTTAATGGGACCAAAATGAGGCTAAAAGTTGGAAGAAATTAAAATTTATTAATTTATTAAATGAATG